TGGACTTACATCAACCTCTCCATGCAGTGATAGATTTCACTATAAGATTACGTATTTTAGTCACTATGTTTAGGATAAGCCGTCTATTCCCCTTCTGAAATTCCCATTTTAAAGGTTCGAAAATCTTTATCGTTACCATTGACGTGAAGCCCCTTTTGAGCAGGACCATAACTCAACAGATCAGGATTATTTTCTCCGAAGAAGACTTAAATGTATTCTCACTGCCAACCAAGTCATGTGTGCACCCAATTAAAACATGATTTTCGCCACGTGTCCACGCTCAGATGAAAGCATAGGTATTTGAGAAAAAGATTTTTTTTACTTTTTTGTTTTATGTGTTTTGTGCGCATAGTTCAGAAAAGACAATCAGTTAAGTGACCACACAGCAGTCCAAGAACAAAGCTAGTAGTTCAATCACCACAACAGTAGTTCACCGAGATAGATTTTTTTAATATAAATGTGTAGAATAGTGGTAAACACTCATTCAGTGGTAAACACTCATTCAGCGATGACACAAAAACCAAACTGAGAAATAGCTATGGCACAATGTTATATAGTTCTAGTGAGCTCACTAAAGAACATAGACTGATGGCAATTTAAAAGTTAAATAGTCAGCTCAGAAGGTCTGTCATTCTCATCAAGGGCACAGTGAACAGACCTGGAAAGAGAGTCAGCGCTGAAAAGGAAGGTTAACACGGCCAAAAAAAAAACGAAACCTTGGAAAGTCTGGACTTGTGCGGTAAAGATTACCTATTTATTAAACATGGATTGATGTTAGGCACTTAGAGCCAGCTGTGGTACCACAGCTTGAAACGTGTGGAAAAAGAGTCAAAAAACAAGGTTTCTTCGACCGTTAACCGTTATTTTTTCTACTTTCTCAGCGCGTGCTTTGTCGGGTTATTTAGTATATCGATTTCTTTTGGGCCGTGTTACCTTTCCAGGTCTGTTTTTAGGGAAGAAAGGGATGGCGCAGTGGTGAGAGCGCTCGCCTCCCACCAATGTGGCCCGGCGGCGACGCCATTTATGGGTTGAGTTTGTTGTTGGTTATCCTGTTTTCCCCTCTCCTCAAAAACCAACATTTCCAAATTCCAATTCGACCAGGATTCAGGTAGACGAGGAACCACTCTATGGATCTGCTACCTCCAAATAATAACTTATTTATTTATTTATTTTCACTGTGCCCCTGATGAGAATGACAGACCTTCTGAACAGACTATTTAACTTTTAAATTGCCCTCAGTCTAAGTTCCTCTTTACTTTAGGGAGCTCACTAGAACTAAATAACATTGT